AGAATCCTAATAGCTAATATAAGGGTACTTCATATAGATGTCTTCATATAGAGTCTGTTGGAAACAGCTAAACAACGGTAAATAAGGAATCAGCTTAATTTCACAAAAGAAGATTCATAGTAGTATTATAGACTGAATGTATAGGTCTCTTATCAGTTCTTTTCCCTTCCTCAGGGAAGGTTAGCTTTCAATGACTCTTGATAATTTGGGGATTATCCATCCAAGAGGAAAATGACTAAGGGCATGAATAGGTAACACACTAAAAGAAAAAATACAAATGACCAATAAGCATAAGAAAGATAGTCAACCTCACTTGTTATCAAATAAGTGAAATTTTTAAAAAACTATGTTAACCTAGCGTGTTGACAAAAATTTAAAAAAAGAATCTTCAGTGTTGGAGGGATATGGGCACATAGATTCTTGGTGGGAGTAAATCAGCCCTGTCTGGCCACAGGGGAGTTAGGCATTATGTACCAAAATATGAATTACACACATCCTTTGACCCAACAAGTCTGCTTTTAGGCATGTATACACAAAGATGTATGCATAAGAGTGCTTGTCAAAGCTTTGTGGTTTATAATAGGAACAAAGGCTGGAAATAACCTATATGTTCATCCATAGGGGGCCAGTTAAATAAAGGAATACTCTTCAGCCATTGAAAGTAATGAGGTATATACTTCTATTTTTAGATAGAATGTTAAATTAAAAATTATGTTATAGAACAGCAATGAATTTTATATACATACACACACAATATATAACCTATAAAAATACATTTATCAGTGAACTCATTTTCCACAAAGGTGTCAAGAACATACCCTGAGGGAAAAGACAGTCTCTTCAATAAAGAGTTCTGGGAAACTGATATCTGTGTGCAGAAGGATGAAACTAGATTCCCATCTTTCACCATATACAAAAATGAAATAAAAATGGATTAAATACTTACAGACCTCAAACTAAGAAAACTACTACAAGAATACATTGGGGAAACTCTCCAGGACGTTGGTCTGGGCAAAAATTTCTTGAGTAATACCCTACAAACATAGACAACAGAAGCAAAAATGGACAAAGGGGATCACTTTAGTTAAAAAGCTTCTGCACAGCAAAGGAAACGATCAACCAAGTGAAGAGACAACCCACAGAATGGGAGACAATATTTGCAAACTACCCATGTAACAAGGGATTAATAACCAGAATGTATAAGGAGCTCAAACAACTCAATAGGGAAAAAAACTAATAATCTGATTTAAAAATGGGCAAAAGATTTGAATAGACATTTCTCAAAAATCAGACATACAAATGGCAAACAGGTATATGAAAAGGTGCTCAACATCACTGATCATCAGAGAAATGCAAATCACAACTACAATGAGATATCATCTCACTCCAGTTAAAATGGCTTTTATCCAAAAGACAGGCAATAACAAATGCAGGAGAGGATGTGGCAAAACGGGGACCCTCTTACATGGTTGGTGGGAATGTAAATTATTAGTACAACCATTATGGAGAACAGTTTGGAGGTTCCTCAAAAAACTAAAAATAGAGCTACCATATGATCCAGCAATACTACTGCTGTATATATACCCAAAAGAAAGGAAATCAGCATATCAGGATATCTGCACCCCCATGTTTGTTGCAGCACTATTCACTATAGCCAAGATTTGGAAGCAACCTAAGTGTTCATCAGCAGATGAATGGATAAAGAAAATGTGGTACTTACACACAGTGGAGTACTGTTCAGCCATAAAAAAGAATGAGACGCTGGGATAACTGGCTAGCCATACACAGAAAATTGAAACTGGAAGGGTCCTTACACCATAAACAAAAATTAACTCAAGATGGATTAAAGACTTAAATGTAAAACCAAAAGCTATAAAAATGCTGGAAGACAACCTAGGCAATACCATCCAGGACACAGGCACAGGCAAAGATTTTGTGACAAAGACGCCAAAAGCAAGTGCAACAAAAGCAAAAGTTGACAAATAGGATTTAATTAAACCAAAGAGCTATGCACAGCAAAAGAAACTATCAACAAAGTAAACACAAAACCTACAGAAGAGGAGAATATTTTTGCAAACTATGCATATGACAAAGGTCTAATATCCAGCACCTACAAGAAACTTAAATTTACAAGAAAAAAACTTCATAAGAAAGTGGGAAAAGGACGTGAATAGACACTTTCTTTTTTCTTCTGGTTTTTTTTTGAGATGGAGGCTCGCTGTTGCCAAGCTGGAGTGCAGTGGCACACTCTTGGCTCACTGCAACCTCTGCCTCCCGGGTTCAAGTGATTCTCCTGCCTCAGCCTCCTGAATAGCTGGGACTACAGGCATGCGCCACCATGCCCAGCTAATTTTTGTATTTTCACTAGAGACAGAGTTTCACCATGTTGGCCAGGATGGCCTCGATCTCTTGACCTTGTGATCCTCCTGCCTCGGCCTCCCAAAGAGCTGTGATTATAGGCGTGAGCCACTGTGCCCGGCTGAATAGACATTTTTTAAAAGTAAGACATACATGCAGCCAACAACTATATGAAAAAAACCTCAACATTACTGATCAGTAGAGACATACAAATCAAAACCGGTGAGATACCATCTCACAGCAGTCAGAATGACTGTTACTGAAAAGTGAAAAAATAACAGATGCTGGCAGGTTGTGCTTATACACTGTTGGTGGGAGTGTAAATTAGGTCAGCCAGTGTGGAAGACAGTGTGGCAATTCCTCAAAGACCTAAAACACCATCTGACCCAGCAATCCTGTTACTTGGTATATAATCAAAGGAATATAAATCATTCTGTAATATTGACATACGCACATGCATGTTCTTTGTAGCACTATTCACAATAGCAAAGACATGGAATCAACCTAAATGCCCATCTATGATAGATTGGAAAAAGAAAATGTGGCACATACACACCATGGAGTACTATGCAGTCATAAAAACAATGAAATATTTTTTGCAGGGACATGGGTGGAGCTGGAGGCCATTATCCCTAGCAAACTAACACAGGAACAGAAAACCAAATATCACAAGTTCTCACTTATAAGTGGGAGCTAAATGATGAGAACACATGAATACATAGAGGGGAACAACATACACTGGGGCCTTTTGGAGGGTAGAGGATCAGGAAAAATAACGAATGGGTACTAGGCTTAATACCCAGGTGATGCAATAATATGTACAACAAACTCCCGTGACACAAGTTTACCCATGTAAAAAACCTGCACTTGGACCCCTGAACTTAGAATAAAAGTTAAAAATATGAGATCTTGTTACTTGCAACACCATGGATGGAACTGGGGGGTCATTATGTTAAGTGAAATAAGCCAGGCACAGAAAGACAAACATCACATATTCTCACTTATTTGAGGGATCTAAAAATCAAAACAATTGAACTCATGGAGATAGAGAGTAGAAAGATGGTTGCCAGAGGCTGGGAAGTGTAGTGGGGGGTAGTGGGGATGGTTAATGGGTCCAAAAAAAGAAAGAATGAACAGGACCTAGTATTTGATAGCACAACGGGATGACAATGATGGAAATTTTAAAATAAGAGTAGAGTTGGATTGTTTGTAACTCAAAGGATAAGTGCTTGAGGGGATGGATACCCCATTTTCCATGATGTGATTATTACCAATTGAATGCCTGTATCAAAACATCTCATGTATCTCATATATATACCTATGTACCTAAAATTTTAGAAATTACACGAGTGTTTGCATATATTCTTTTATATACCCACAGATATATATGACTATTTTCATATTTTTTCCAATGTTGGACAAGATAATGATAATGGATTACTTTTATATTGAGGGGAAAAATTAAATGAATTAAAATATGAAGAGAACCAAATAGTGGCAGTGAAAAGGGGTAGTGGTGTCTATTCTTCTAAACATGATAGTTTACCATTATCTTAGCCATGCCTAGAGTTTTCTGTAACCTAAATATATGGCTTTACTCGATGGATTTATTTAAATAGTGTGAATTGTGAACAGGAAAATCAAGGACTATTTGCTTACAGGAACTTACAGGATTTTGTTAACTGTAGTTAAGAGTGTTTTCAAGGTAGCAACATGGTATATATATTTCATGGGGGAAAAGGACTGTCACTGTGCTAAGCTTAGCATCTGCATTTCTTTACAGAGGAAACTGATGAAAGGTATACAATATATACAGTCCTGTTTCAGGAGGCTTTTATGTAGGTTGACTCCTCTAAACTAGGCAGAGTAGTAGACTAGAAAAAAGGGAAACTATTCTAAAATGATTTTATGTTATTGTTACAATCTAGATGTTTTTACACAGATGTTTTTATACTTGTAATCAAATAACTTTGATGTAGTAGAAAGATTTTTAAAAATTTTTAATTGCATCTGTCCCACATTTGCTAATTTGCCAAGGGATGTGACTCATATAGCAAATTAAAGACAGTGTTTCACTATGCAACTTGTGTGGTAGTCTGGCCTCTTTAAGGATAAAGGGTACTACAGATCGTTAGCATGAGATCTGTTAGCTTTGAGCATCTGCCTGTCACTCTTCCTCAGTATTGTTTAAGCTCACTGCCTTGTTTAATGTGGTATCTACCTGGTTTGATATTAGTCAGTTTAGAAAAATTTTGTTGAGCAGGACTATGCTGTATTATTATCCTCTCAGATTTTTAACTTAAGGAATTAGAAGCTATGAAATCTTTATTCCAAAGCATGATAAAACATTGATCTGCAATCAGTATAGTGATCTTATCTTTATGATAGAGCTTTTCCATTTTTGCTGATGTCACTTCCCAGAGGGAAGTGAATTTTAGTATGATGAGCAACTCCCAAAAGGGGGAAGAAAATGAGTTATTGGCTTTTCTATGCCTGCATCAATAAGTGAAAATGACTGTTCCCTTATCTATACCTCTTCTTCCGCCAAGCAAAGGAACCACTCAGTGGAAGACCCCAAAGTAAATAAAGGTAAAGTTATATGACGAGGGTCTCTCATGAGGGTCTTTTGATTTGTCAAACAGGACAAGAGTCGCCTGTTTCGAGTACAGTTCAGTGGAGAGTCAAAGGAGCAGGCGCTGGAACACTGCTGCAGTTGCGTTCAAAAGCTGGCGCAATACATAACCGTTCAGGTGCCTGATGGGAACATCCAGGAGCTTCAGCTGATTCCTGGCCCACCCAGGGCAAGTGGAAGTCAAGGGAAGGACTCTGCAAAGAGTGTCCCATGGCAGGCTGGAGTAAGTAGGCTGATGTGTCGGCTATGCAGGAAACATGACAATGCAGTGCACAATGAGTGGCCAAAATGACTGGAGTTTGTCGAGTCTGTTAGGTTTGTAGTTTAAAAACATCTAACATTGGGCGACTTTTAAAATTGAGGCCGACACTCATTGTAGCTCCCTATTCAGAAATTAGGGAGGAAGGAGTTCCGGCTGCATTCCGGGTGTCACTATAGAACAGTGGTTCTCAAAGTGTGGTCCATGAACCCCTCCCTAGGACCCTTCCAGGGGGTCCACAAGGTCAAAATTATTTTTCTTAATATTTAAAGAAATAGTATCACTTGCCTTTTTCACTGTGTCAGCATTTGAATTGATGAGACAAAGGCATCATGAGTAAGGCTGCTGCCATCATACAGATCAGGCAGTGGCACCAAACTGTGCTCATAGTCATCATGTTCCAATCATTCGCAGGAAGAACAAACTAACGAAATAACCCAGCAGTCTGCAGTACCATGGTTGTCTCAAGGGAATGCACCTGTATGACATTTGTATTTTGAACTAGCCTCTTTTTTCATAAAATACCATCATCATGTGAGAGAACAATAGACTATGGTCATTCAGATTTGGGTTATTTGGCAGACATTTTTTCAAAAATCAGTGAAATGAACTATCACTTCAGGAAAACAACTGATAGTATTTATTGAAAATGATAAAATTTAAACTTCCAAGTGAAAATTAGAATCTTGAAAAACTTGTATCTGCCACATGAGTTTCACAACTTCCCAACCTGGAAGACTTTTCTAAAGGTGCTATTAATAAATGTGATTTACTTTTTTATAAGTAATTACCTGATGAAATGTGTCAATATTTGAAAGACAGTATATTCAGTGAACCAGTACTGTCCAAATGACTGATGCCTGAATGCCACAAAATTATACATGGATAAAGAGCTATTCAAAAGTGTAAGATAGGCTAAAAGAGTGTAATATAACAGTATAACAAGTTCATTGCTATGGTTTCAGATTCTATATTGCAACTTACCTTTAAGCAACTCACTCGTTGAGTTTTGGTGTTATATCAAGGAATATCCAGTTATCTGAACAGGCTATTCTAAAATACCCCTCCCTTCTCCATCTACAATTTGTGTGAGGCCAGATTTTCTTCATGTCTCCAACCAAAGCAGCACATTACAGCAGACTGAGTGCAGCAGCAGATGTAAGAATCCAGTCACCTTCTATTAAACTAGGTAGTAAAGAGATTTGCAAAAATCATGACATTTTGTTTTAGAAAAGTTATTTTCCATAAAAATGTTTTCAATATTAACATAAAGTGAGTTTACTATTTTTAATGAATAGTTTAAAATTCCATGTTAATTTCTACACAGATAAATGTAACTCAAATCAAAGTTCTTTGAAGGCCTCATAAGGGGTCTTGAGATAAAAACATTTGAGACTCATGACTATAGGATTTCTCCCAGAAATATGTGTTCTGCATTTCTTTGGCATAGTTTCAAATATTGTTGGAATAAGCACCTATCTCTGCTCTTGAGATGAGATTCTGCTTTCAAGCTGGGTTTTGCATTTGCTTTGAGAAGTCATTTTTCCAAACCTGGTTTTCCATTACTTCATCCCGTTAGTTTTCCTTAACCAAAACACCTCATTTTTGCTGATTTGTCACTAAGTTTCTTTTTCTTTTTTCCTGAGACAGAGTTTCGCTCTTGTTGCCCAGGCTGGAGTATGCAATGACACGATCTCGGCTCACTGCAACCTTGCCTCCCGAGTTCAAGCCATTCTCCTGCCTCAGCCTCCCGAGTAGCTGGGATTACAGGTGTCCGCCACCATACCCAGCTAATTTTTGTATTTTTAATAGAGATGGGGTTTCATTATGTTGGCCAGGCAGGTCTTGAACTCCTGACCTCAGGCGATCCACACACCTCGGCTTCCCAAAGTGCTGGAATTACAGGCGTGAGCCATCAGGCCCGGCTGTCACTAAGTTTCCTGTTCTTTATAATTTGTCTGAGGTGAACATAAATTTTCATTATTTACTATAAAATCTTTTTCTTTAAGCAGGTGCTACATGATTTCCTCTTGAAGGTATTTAGTTTGCCAAACAGATTTTGGTGGTTTGAGTTCTTTCCCTTCATTTGATTTTCATGAAGATGTCTTAACGCCGAAGCTGCTTGCCTCACAAACCCTGGATCTAGTTTCAAACAATAATGCTCTGTCTATATTCAGCTCCTGCTGTATTTCTTAAGAATCCCCTCCCTACAAATGGGTTGGAGTGGTTACTATAAGGTATTTTATTGCTTATGATTCTTTTCCCTTCAGATTTTCATGTTTCAATGCCCAATAGATTAAGATGATAGTATAGTATACCCAATGCATGCAGTGTAACAAAAACCTAGAAGGGTTCCAGAATTTGGGAACTCAGTCTGGAATTCCTTATAAAGGTAATGAAGTCACATCACGCTAGAACCTTGTCAGGTTACACAATTACCTAAGTATTACAAAGGCAAATAAATTGAAGTTGTAACATGCAGTAACAAATGCAGGCTGAGTTGTGAGTTACAGCCCCAGATGAAGGCTCCAGCTCTCTGATGTTAAAGACTGATCCCAAATGTCTAGGTAGAAATACCTGAGAAGTGGTTAGGAAACTTGCATGCCTTTGTTGATTCTATTTTCAGGGACTCTTCTGAACTGTAATTGGGTGATTTGACTAAGATAGCATGATATTGTACAAAGACCACAGGCTTTGGTATCAAGATGGATCTAGGTTAGAATCCTGACCCTATTTCTTAGCAGCTGTGTGATCTCACGGAAGCCAATTAGCTCCATCTGTAAAATGGTGAGATTAAAATGCTGTATAGAGAGCACCCAATACAATGCCTGGCAAATATAATCACAAAATCCATCATTACTATTATTGCCCTCAATGTTACCCATTCAGATGTGCCTTCTCTTGCAAATGAACAAATCAGCATCCTGGCCAATTAGCAAGGATCAGAACTTCCAGAGCCAAAAGAGGGCATGATAAGACAGTGTATGAAGCTGCAGAGCAGATGACAAGTTAAAGTCATTGGATTAAATTCCACCAGGGTACAGACCTTGTGAGGCACCACCTAAACATTCTAGTTTTCCTAATGGCAAAACATAAGGTTTGCCCTTAACTACTGATGTACAAATTTTGGTAGCATGTGCTCTTTCTCAGAATCTATCTTAAGAGGTACAAGCCATGGCCAAGTTCTGGTCATTTTGCTGCTCTCTTACATTCAGGTGTGTCATTTTTGTAATACCTGTAATCTTTTAGTATAAGAGTTGTTTCCTTCTTTGCAAATAGAATTCTATTTCAAGTTCTTGAGTCATTTCCTGGCTCATATTTTAGTTTTTGCTTTTCCTTAGCCTTGTAATTTGGTTAATTGTGGCTTAACCAGGCATTTCTCAACCTTAGCACTTCAAAGGCAACCAGCCCACCCTGGGGAGGGGGATGGGAAAGACAGGAAAGAGGATCGCAGTTCCTATGTGAGCTCTTTCCTGTTAGCACAAAAAGTCCACAAGAAAGTAGCTAGGGGACTCCAGCTACTATGTGCGCAGACCCTTCCATCTCTATGCTGTTGCAGGGGTGGACCATCTAATCCTAGAGCCCACTAGCCTCAGGTGGTTCAGTGCCACTTAGCTATTTTTTACAGTGTTTATGGCAATTTTGGTTGACATCTTAGTTCTTTGTGTGAGCTGAAATGATACGTATTCTAGGAAAGCATCAAATGTGATAGCTGAAGAAACACTAGGCACTAGAGTCTGCCTTGTGTTTACAGAGGAGAAAACTGAAGGAACTGAAGAGAGAAATGCGGATTGTCTAAGGGCTCTTGATTATAGAGTCCTTTGGGCATTTTGCTCATTTTTCATTTTCTTGTCTTTGTTCTTTCCTTCCTCACTGTACCTCCACACCTCCTTCTTGTTGTTGCTGTTCAGTGCTTCCAGGTCTGCTTTTCTGCTACCTACTGACTAGCAACCATCAGCTTCTCTGTAGGACAGAAGACAGAATTTGGCATCTCCCACCTTCGGGTAGTCAGACTTGTTGCTGATGGACAGAAGCGCCCTCCAAAGAGTGCCCTGTTTTCTCCCTGTATTGCACCATCAGCTCATACCTAGTGCAGGAGCACCACTGCTCATCTGGAGATTAGCACTGCAGCAGCCTCAGGTACCCACAGCAGCCTCAGGTACCCAAAGCATAGTGGGGCCTGCAGACATGTGGCTAGGAAGGAACGGAGGTAGGGCCCTTCATGCCTCCAGACTTCCTGTACCTTGTTCATTCTATTTCCCTGGAAAGCATCCCATGTCCTACCTGAGAACAACTTATTACCACAGATTCTCTCCAGATAGCATGGACCTTACAGCATCCCTGTACTTCCTGCTTAGCATACAGCCCTCCAGTTTACCCACTTCTCTGTGAACCTCCAGCACTTCCTGAGTTGCAAGGTAATTCATGGTTTTACTTGTTAGGTTCTCACTAGGCTGTGGGCTTCCAGAGGGCAGGACTCTATCTTGTTCTTTGTAGCTCCTATCCCTGTACCATCTCAGTGTCTAGTACGTAGGAGGCATAAACAGTCATTGAAACCAGGTATCTATAAGTTTTACTTACAGAAGAATTCATTCCTTCAGAATATCTAAAATGAGATTTTTTTTAAAAAATCATTTTACTGAAAACATCAGTTGTCTTAAAATTATAGGGGTTTCCCTCCATTTTGCATTTCTGCAATGAACATGCATTACTTGAGCAATAATTTTTAGAGGGTGAAAAATCATGATCAGAAGCTGGGGTCCGTCCACTGCATGCAGGCTGCCATGGTAACAGCACCTGGCCAGCCCTCCAGGGCCTATGCGTGGTCCTGAATCCTAGGCTGGGCCTCTGACAACAGAAGAATGCCCCAGTGTCTGACAGGAAGCAGCACTAACAGCCTGCCAACGGCTGAGGAACATCAAATAGAAGTCAGGAGCTGCAAATTTAAACTCAGTACTTCTGCTGTGGTAACTCAAGTAACCCTCCATTTAAACTGAGACAGACCTATGCTGACAATCATTTTAACCACTCTTAGTGGTATTTTCTTTCTTTGAACATGAATGCGTATTTCTGCTTCTCTAATGTCCTGTGGTATACAAGATTCCATTCAGCTAGTCTCCTTATTGCATGTTGTTTTATTCCAGTCCCACCAGCACTCAGAACAGCAAGTGCGTGGAACAGCGGGCACAGGCGCTCCAGACGGAAGGACCTCACTGACGCAGTTAGCTCAGGTAGAGCTTATTTCTGTGTTTAATTTTCTTATCGTGAAAAGCAGTGACCCCTAAGAATTTGTATCCCTTTGTTCACTTCTTTGTTTTAGGAGAGAAACCTAAAGCATTACTCTAAAAGGTGATAAAGACAGAGACAGGGCCATGTTCATCTACCCCTTGCAGAGTAAGTTTTATTACAGTAAGCTGTGAGGTGAGACGTGATGGCTGCAGGCACATAGTCAAGATCTACCCTCCAAAGGAAATAAAAAGAGGAAAAGTGGTTGAATGTCCAAGACAGAAAATTTAATCACCACTTTCCCAAAAAAGAAGAATAAATGAAGGACTCCATTGTAATTATGGAAATGAAATTTGGGAACTATTTTAAGACAAATATCAAAATGAATGTGGATTCAGATCTACAACAGTTTCTGTATGGGCAGATTGTCAGTACTCAGCTAAGGACGTGTAGAAACCCAGGAGGATTCAATTCTGTTACCTCAGACTTGCTTTCAGACAGCCCCTTGCCCCCTGCTGCAAAACCTCTTCATTCAAAACTATGGTTGTGCGATGTCTACTCTCCTGGGAGCTCTGCAAGGACTTTGTCTCCCCCTCACTGCATTCCTCATTGCAGGTGTTCAAGCCAGCAGCTTCTGCTTGCCACAGAATTCTGCATGGAGTTCATCAATCTTCAAGTATGATTTTTTTTTTTTTTTTTTTTTTTTTGAGACAGGATCTCACTCTGTTGCCCAGGCTGGAGTACAGTAGCACAATCTTGGCTCACTGCAACCTCCGTCTCCTGGGTTCAAGCGATTCTCCTGCCTCAGCCTCCTGAGTAGCTGGGATTACAAGCATGTGCCACCACGCCCAGCTAATTTCTGTATTTTTAGTAGAGACAGGGTTTCACTATGTTAGCCAGGCTGGTCTTGAACTCCAGACCTCAAGTGATTCCCCGACCTCAGACTCCCAAATTGCTGGGATTACAGGTGTGAGCCACTGTGCCCGGCCGAATTTTCTTTTAATTCCTCTACTAAACTGTGCTATCAGTAGTTTTTTTAAAAAGGTGTTTTCTCAATCTGGCTTGCCACTAACTCAAAAGAAATGGACAATCATATAGAATAAAAAACTCAAGAGGTAGGAAGACCAAGAATTCATGTTTATTTTTTTTAATAACCTGGTAACTATGAAAAAAAATTATTTGTCCAGCAGCAGAACTGACTGAATAATGCCCATATTTGCACTGGAGTTAGGGGCTAACTGAATCAGATAAGCTGATGAACACAGAGCTGCAATAAAACAATAAACAAGGCAGGGTGTGATGTCCTTATTTAGGAAATATCAATTGCTAGAAATGGTATACCTTACCCAGTTTATTTACGTAGTATGGAAGAACCATATACAAATGAGAAAAAGCATGAAGCTTGCAGCTCAGATACATTACTTATTTGCTCTTATCTTTTGGACATGTCATTCTATGTAAGTTGGTAAAACCTTTTGGAAGGCAATTGAGCAGTACATATCAAATTTAATGTTATCTATAACTTCATTCCAACTACACAGATATACATATGTTCATCACAATGCTTGTTAAGAAATTGGAAACATAAATGTTCATTTAATAGGATACTAAGTGTGGTATAATCATAGATGGGATAGAAATGCAATTAATACAAGGGATGTAGGCCGCACATGGTGGCTCACACCTGTAGTCTCAAGCACTTTGGGGGGCTGAGGCAGGAGGATAACTTAAGGCCAGGAGTTCAAGACCAGCCTGGCCTAACATCATAGTGAGACCCCCATCTCTAAAAATAAACAAAACAAGTGCTATATATCCCAAGTAAATTTCTGTTATAGAGAATTCCTAGAGAAATATCAGTTATGTACTTACACACTAAACCCTGCTATCCACAGAAATAATAAAACCACCTACCTCATAGAATTAATGCGAGGAATCAATAAGATGACCGAGTCAATGCACCAAAGTAAGTGGACCACACAGAACTGGAGCCCATCATCATCATGTGGGGCTGTGGATCCAGTGTTGCCAGATCTTCCAAATTGTCAAGATTTTTATTTGAACTCTCCTAATATTTAAATGTTGGCAACTAATTCAACTGGTTTTAAAACACTGCAGGTTACCAAAGAAAACATACAGATGACAAATAAGCATGTGAAAAGTTCAACATTATTAGTCACTAGGCAAATGCCAATTAAAACTACAATGAGACATCCTGCAAACTTATTAGAATGCCTAAATTAAAAATAAAAACTGACCATACCAAACCCTGGATGGGTGAGCAACTAGAACTCTCATCTACACTGCTAGTGGAACGTAAATGGGACAGCCACTCTAGATGACAGTTTGGCAGTTTCTTACAAAGTTAAATATACACTCACCACATGACTCAATCCCAGGTGTTTACTGAAGTGAAATGAAAATCTGTGTTCACACAAAAACCCGTAAGTGAATGTTTATAGCACCTTTATTCATAATTGCAAAAAATAAAACCACCCAAATGTCCTTCAACTGGAGAATAGATAACCAAACTGTGGCACATCCATGCAATGTAATACTTATTCAGCAATAAAAATGAACTACTGAAATACTCAACATCATGGATTAATCTCAAATGTATTCATTATGATAAGTGTAAGAAGCCAGATTCAACATATGTTTCATTTATATGATATTCTGGAAAAGGCAAAACTATATGGAGAAGAGATCAGTCGTTGCTAAGGGTTAAGGGTTTCACGGCAATGGTTAGCACGAGGGTCACATAAGGGAGTTTTTTAGGAAGTGAAAGAAATGTTGTGTATTTTGATTGTGATGATAGACAACGATTTGTCAAAACTCATAGATGGCCAGAAAAAGACACGTGTGAACTAATGTCCTTTGGGCAGTTTGTGGCCTCTTTCTTATATTCAGAATGCAGCTAGCACATAGACTGCTCACATCCACTCTGCCACCTATGCTGTGGGGAAGATGAACTAAGCTAGTGCAGCTCATTCATTGACAGGTTTATTTTCAATCCACAGGTTATCAGCACAGTATTCTTCATTAAAGTAGAATCTCAACTTTGCAAACATTTAATCAGTATATTTGAAATTCTTTCCTTAAGGCAACAAGATTATCTCACATGCTATGTGTATTCAGAAAACATATTAATATACAAAATTGTAAATGTAACAGTAAAACTACGTAAAGGAAGCCTGTAAAGCTAATTAATACTAATTTTTTTTGGTGTGTATTTCTCTAATCTTTCCTTAAAGCACTATTTGCCTGTGTTCTATTAGCCAGGTATTGCTGACCTGTAATCTGTAACTACTTTTCTGGTATCCCTGCAGACTCTTCTGGCCTCGGAGGAGCTGCCCCGTGTCTATGAACAATCTGCATGGGGTGCAGAAGAGTTAGGCCCCTTCCTGCGTTTGTGCCTTATGGATCAGAATTTCCCAGCATTTGTGGAAGAGGTAGAAAAGGAACTTAAAAAGCTAGCGGGGTTGAGAAATTAATGCTCTGTATACATATATAACTAAGGAACTTCAAAGTATTGAAAAATGCTTCCTCCTAAAATTAAAGAAGATATTAGAATAAAGAGCATTATTCCAAACACCTTTTATCAATGTTTTATTTTTAAAAACAGGTGAATCCACTTTTATACATCATTGCACTTCAATAATTACACAAAACACAAGTACATGCATCTACAGTTACGCACCGCATGAGAACCCTGTTAGGTTATAAAATCTATCATCAACCAGTAAATCAATGTGAAAAAATACAGTGTCAAACCAAAAAGTATAACTATAGTTGCATAGAATATCACCATGCTATAACATTTCAAGGTCATTGGAAACAAAAGAAAAATTATAAAAGTTTGCCTTGATTGAATGTACAAGAATAAGGTTCAACACATCAGTGCAAAAGGATTTATGAATTTACATGACTTAACAAAAGAAAAGATAATCACTTAAAAAGCAATCATACGTATATACTGCAATTCATTATACCCATTCAGTGGACTGTTCCAGCTTATTAAAGTCACAGGTTAAGCCCTTAAAATTATAGATTTCAGTTTATATTACTCATCTTTATGTACCAGAACTGCACAATTTCCTCATGACAACATACAATAAGGAATGAATATCAGCAGCTTAAAAATGAAACAAGCATTTACTTTATTTTGGATTTCTCCCACCCCCAAAAATATAAATATATATATATATATTTATATACTGTATATATCTGTAGGTTTTGCTGTACTTTACAAAAATGTATCACTAGATGGCAGCAGTGCATTTTAGAGCTTTGCCAATTTAACAGCTGCATTAAGTAAAAAATGGCGCATGCATGATCTGATCCTCAGAGGACCTTTTCACTTCTATTTAAATATTTTAACAAAGGAAAAAAAGCAACATTCACAGCACATCAAGCCCAAAATAGTTTACACCTTCTACACTGAAGCATTGTTTAAAATGTACCTGGCTAGATCACCCTTACAGGAGAGGCTAAATAAGGCATGCTTTAGACAGTCATTGTGGTGTTGCTCACTTGAAAGGGGAGAGAACCAAAGAGGTCCAAGCAGAAAATTTAGCAGGTCATGTTGCCACCAGTTTCAGGAACCTAAAGATCTGTAAAGAAATATGTATTTGGAAATTATAAAGGGAATATGCACTGTCACTCACAACTACACCGTGTGCCACACAAAGCTTTGGTTCAAACAGCATACTCAAGGATGTAGTGTGAAATTCTGATCTCCATGTGCCTAACAAGATGACATTCTGGCCCTGCTGCTGCCTGGCCACCATTCTTGTCTTGCCCCTATATGTGAGGTAAGACTAGCAGGCCTCTGGGAATAATCCACCTAAGAAGGTGACAATTTCACCTCTTTGTAAAGATATAATGTGGAAAAGTATTTATTTTAAAACATGTCTTCTGAAATGGCATTTATATAAACGTGACAATGCACCTGATGGCAGAGCGCAGTGGCTCACGCCTGTAATCCCAGCACTTCTGGGAGGCTGAGGCAGATGGATCACTTGAGGTCAGGAGTTCAAGACCACCCTGGCCAACATGATGAAACCCTGTCTCTACTAAAAATACAAAATTTAGCTGGGCGTGGTGGTGGGCACCTGGAATCCCAGCTACTTAGGAGGCTGGGGCAGGAGAATTGCTTGAACCCGGGAGGTGGAGGTTGCAGTGAGCCAAGATCACGCCACTGCACTGCAGCCTGGGCAATAGAGTGAGACTCCATGTTAAAAAATCCAAACAACAGCAAAAAACGCAGCTGAAAAATGTTCCTTTCCAGTCCCTAAACTGGGCAGACAGAACTGGCTTCATCATTATCAGCTGCTCTGAAATGAATTAAAAGATTTTACAACATAACACCAATTACTGAAGAAGTTGTAAAAAGGTCAATAGAAGTACATTCATTTGAATATAATTTTAAAAACTGCTAAAGAAGGCCATACTTACATTGTAAGCAGTACTTAATTTGTGTTTCTCTGGCGCAAGTTTTTATCTTTGTGATTGTTGGTAGAGTTGGTTTTCCTTTGGAGGAAAAATTGCATTACATGAGTTAAACTCAGTCAATAACTTTTGAAAGTGTAACACATGGAAATTCACTTACTGCCATCCCTGGTGTTGTAAGAAATTTTGTGGCACAATATGAGTGCATTAAAAAAACATTAAGTAGCTACAGGTGAAGTATTCCTCCTCTGAAATGCTTGGGATCATAAATGTTTCAGATTTTGAATTTTTTAGATTTTGGAATATTTGCATTATACTTACCAGTTCAGCATCCCTAATCTGAAAACCCAAAATTCAAAATGCTCCAATGAGCATTTCCTTTGAGCATCAAGTGAGCACACAAAAAAACTTCGGATTTTGAAGCATTTCAGATTATGGATTTTGGCAGTAGGTAGACTCAACCTGGATATACCTCATTTTAGCCTCCTTTTGACCCCCAAGGCAGACAAGTACTTTCCCTTTGATTTCTGAACTATAATTGCTATACAGGTGAGAATATGTAAAACTTTTCTCCACTGAACACAACACCACTATCCCTTCTCAACTGATAAAAGGTAATCATGGCCAGGTGTGGTGGCTCACGCCTGTAGTCCCAGCACTTTGGGAGGCCGAGGCGGGTGGATCATGAGGTCAGGAGATCGAGACCATCCAGGCTAACACGGTGAAACCCCGTCTCTCCTAAAAATACAAAAGATTGGCCGGCAGTGGTGATGGGCGCCTGTAGTCCCAGCTACTCGGGAGGCTGAGGCAGGAGAATGGCATGAACCCGGGAGGCGGAGCTTGCAGTGAGCTGAGATTGTGCCAC